TGACTATTATATATGAAATATATAATGCACACTTTCTATATGTGTGTGTTGGTATAGCACATATGAAAGGTACATTATACATATAAAATTGAATATATGTATATACAGAGATACATGCATATAAATGAGATCCAAATCTTGCAAGTGTTTTCAACTTGTCCAGAGTACAATTTTCTACTTCCAAGGATTTAATTTGACTTGTGAAAAGTATAGGCTTTTAACAGAGAACATAACCATAAGATGATTTGATGTTATTTATTAGATGTGAAATCTTGTAATGCTGCTTACCAACTCATGAGCTTAAAGAGAATTTATATTTACCCTGTGCCATTTCAAAGCAATTTTACTGAATATAAAATTGCTCCAAGACAAGTATTACACATTTTGAGACTGAAAGAAGGTTTGTTCAGTTGCCAGTTTTCTAAAGCTAATGTGAGTTCTTTTACTCTCTGGCCATCACTAGGCCTGAGATCAAAGACTGCATTGTGAAAACAAGAATTGGATATTCCTTCTCCCACCTAATTCAGTTGTCTTGTTACTTTCAATTGATGAGCCTTATCTCATCTCTTTAAGTCTAATCTGCAGTGGTTGAATTCTGGATTATAGCAATATGACTGACAACAAAATTTATTGTGTTACAGACTACACTAATTACGATCATTTTTTAAATTCATTACGCTTTCATCATCTTTTACACACCAAATTAAAGGCATATGCAAAATACTATTTATACGTACATTTGTGAATTTCCGTATCACATTTCATGTGTCTCTAAAAATATGGAGGGGGAGGAAATTCCTGTCTAATTCAACAGGACTAATGGGAACGGGCCCAAGCCTGCAGGGCTTGTTCACTCCAAAATTTTATAATGCCAACTAGAGCTTGTCCTTTGATGTTGGTTTCAGACCAATCTTTATATTCATCATGAAACTAAAGTCTCATTATTAAAAGGCAAATTTGCTCAGTTTCTAACACTATAATGCTGTTTTTAATGGACAGGTGGGCTATTCTACAGGATATCTATAACTGTCTTTAGTTCCAACTCTGACGCTACATTGAAAGTACATGATGTGGTTGCAGAATGGGTAAGTTAAGTTTTCTTTCCTGTGTGATTACATATATGAATCTGCCCCATTGATGTTACCAATCAGAAAAAAAAAAACCAAAACCAAAACCAAACCAAAAACCTACCAATTAAATTCTTAAATTTATATGTGTTGTCTGAAAATCTTTCTGTTATTGATTTGTGCAGTAATGAATTCAGGTCTAACTGGAGCTATTAAGCACTATAGATAAAATTTTTAAATGTCTCCACTATAGTAGCCAGCTTCTTAAGAAATGTAGATATTAGCTGTCATTTTGGAAAGCATAGAGAAATCAGAATTGCCCACTGAAAGAGGCAGATGTTTTAAGTTCCTACATCACTACAGAGAGCAAAATACTAATGCTGTTTTGAAGTGATAGTAATAGAAATAATAATAATAAAAAAAAGACAATGTTCATTTGTGTGAGGCAAGGTAATTTTGCAATTTACACTGATATTCTGTACTTCAGAAGTCTTCTGCCATAGGTCAGTTGTTGCAGTTTCTAGCAGGCCCTGGTTTTTCAGCCCATTTATCAGACAAGCTCCTTTCTGAGCCCTCTGGGTAGAGGATTTTTGAAGTTCTTGCCTCTGAAAGTGCCTTTTGTCTGAATACAAATATTCTCTGTCCTTTTTGACAGTTCACATAGTGGCACTCACACAGTCTGTAAGTAGTCTTTATACCAACTACTTAACATGAAAATATAATATCATAATATATGTCAGTTATTCTTTATTTTTCTTTTAATAAGCCTGGAGACTTTCAGCTTTCAGAAGCTAAAGGAAACAACCAGTAGACATCTACAAGCCAGAAATACAGCCATCTACACCTGCCAATGTCTAGGTCTCTTGGCAGCAGTAGCCAGGCAAAAGTACATAGGTGCCTGAGGCAGAGAATCTATAAAGGTGTCACTTGGCTCTAGCAGAGTATACAAAAGTTTCTCCCGGGGGAAAACTGAACAGCTGTTGCCCCCTCAGAATAAGTAGTACAAAGGTCTGAAAAAAAATCATTATAAGATTGTAGACTTTTAGATGAAAATTGACCTTGTAGTTTTGTCAGTAAATATTTTCTAATTCAAGTGTTTCTGAGAATTTCAGATGAGAAAGAGACAGAAAAAAGGAAAAGTTCAGCATCCTGTGCACTCACCTATTCTCTGTGTCATGATCTTACGAAGGTTTCCTTTTGTCAGTAAAAATGTCCACATCTCTCACTACCAGTTGTACATCTAATACAACAATCACCTCACTGAAATGGGAGAGTGTTCTCTTCGCTTTGAGAAAGTGAAGGGGATTTCTCAGAGGGAGAAGGGTGAATTTCTAACTCTATCTTAAGCAACAAAGAGTCCCATTAACATCTCACCATTCATATGATCAATGTGTTCCTGTTTTTCAGCTAAACCGTACTTTCCAGAACTGGAATTACACTGTGTATGTGGTCAATATCAGGTAAATGATAGGGGAAGGATATTTATGCTGTGTTCCTTTTGAGAATTAGCCCACTCTAATTAATATTTATTTCTTTCATAGCATCCACCCTGGCTCCATAAAAGAGGGAACAAGGGAAAAAAGAAGTATTAAAAGGTAACAATTTTAAAGACATTATCTTGATAGAGGCAATGTCTGCTATTACAAGTGGCTTTACAATAGGCTTTCTTGTCTATTGCTGGATTCATTGTCTATTATTTGGCATATGCTGCCAGTCTGTAAAACATATGACTGCTGGTGAACTGTGACCTCTGGATATGCTCAGAAAGCTAATACTGGTTATTGTGTTTGTTTTGATTTAAACCTACTGAGCTTGAAATCTTAACAGATCATTTTTTCAGGGCTCAGGTTTCATCTGTCACAAAACTGAATAGACATATCATATATTTGTGGTATGGCACACCCAGCTTGCTTTAGCAACAAGAGTTGGTACGCTGCTATCTGTCCACTGTCACTGCATTTCTTCTCTTGAACCAGAGTCTTTTGAGTTAACAGACATCTTACTAGATGCAAAACACTGAAAAATCATTCTAGAATTGAAAGCCAAACAAGTGTGAGTTAAACTGTTTACCATATGCTCTCATTTCCTGACTTCTGGTGGGCCTAGAGGCCCTCGAGTTGGGACGGCCTCAAAGGCAGCCAAAGTAAGTTAGATGGGTCACACCCCCTGAAAACTGGGCCTTAGGGGATTTCTTTGAAAGCAGCAGCCTGATTTCTGAGGGATATATGGGGAGGGAGTGAATCTTAGAACCAAAGTAAGGAGAGGAAACCAAACAATTATTAGTCGTGAGGAAGGGACAACAACTGGGTATGGGATGTATCTGTTTGCAGTGTAGGCAAAAGTATTGTGGGAAAGATCTTTATTAAAAACTGCCATGGTAACAGCTGGGCTTTTTCATTTCATAGCTAGCCAAGTATTCCCAATTTACCAGCAGAAAGTAGTTACTGATGCTTCCAGTTTTCTACAGTTTATCTACATGCAAAAAGATTTGCTAAAGTTACTATCTCCTTCCCACACACCCACAGCAGAAAGACAGCTTTTGTTGACAAAACCATTTAACTGGTAAAGTGTAAACCCAGTCTCTGAATGGGCTATTTTGCTGCTTGACCTACATTTACAGTAGGGTGTAGTGATGTGGGTTGGACTTTTTCTCACCCTTCTAAACGATATGGTTATGCCAGCAGAACCTTTTAAGTGAAGACCATGCCTCAGGTCTTACCAACAATCCAAGACTGCTGAGGAATGTGAAGTTTTCCCCATCTTTATTCCTCTGTCTTTTACGAAGCTAGCAGCTCAGTCTGTCAGCATCTTTTCTCCCCTAGACTACATACCTGATTTCTTCTTGTCTCACCTTCACACCGTCCTGTCTTCTGGATTTTTTTTCTTATTCCTGGTCTATTTAAAAAAAAAAAAAGGGAGAGGAAGGGGGAAAAATTATTCTAGTAATTCTCCTTCCCTCCCTTTTTGACATACAGTGAATATGGCACTAAGTTACTTCTAGTAATGTATGACTGTTATGAGGAAGTAACCTCATTCCTATTTACTTTGCTTATCATACATAATTTCAAAAGCAATGTAATTACATGTTTCTAGTATGTCATAAAATTTTTGAGGGGAGGTCTAATGAGAAACTAGTCTTCTCATGTCCTCTAGTGCACTATGTGTCAAGGCCAACGGATATTTTTCTATAATTCTGAAAAATTTAATACAAATGCTAATCATGTCACACAAAATATTACTGTTTTCCAAATAATCAGGATTGTTATGCTGGGCATGTTTACTTAGAAAAGAAAAAAACGAAAAGACAAGCCAAAATTCTGCCCAACTTAGCAACCAAGTTGGTAACACAGAGATAATAAAAAATTTAATTCAGCTGCATCATATGTGACTAACAAAAATTAAACTTTTTATGCATTGTATATGCACATGCGCATATGTACAAATACATATACACTGGATTTTTTCTGTTTTCTCATGTATTTTTTGTCTTACATATATTTTCATGCATCATTTACCTCTTACAGGGGAAACATTTGGAAAAGCTGGTGTTCTACCAGCTTCAAATCTAAGTATTTGTCTATCATTATACATTACTTCCTTTATGAAAAAAAAAAAGAAGGATGAGCTTACCAGTAGTCTTCAGTGTTCCTCGGTTTAGTCACCAGGTTTCCAGTTCCTTGAGGTTCATGCAGCTATTTCTAGATTTTGCAAGGAAGAAATCTGTTGAATTTCTGAACATCCCAATCATTGCTTTCAAGATACTTTGTTAGGTTTTCCACTTTCTTGGATTTGTTCTGGGTAGAAATATTAGCAGATTGCAGGTTGGAAGGTTTTAGTCCCTGATGGAAGTAATATTAGTTTCTTACTACTCAGGTCATCCACTGAAATGTTAAGGCTGAGTTCTTGTATGTAACAGTGGGTTTTCATACAGTTTCTATTAATTAAATATTCATATAAATTATTTCAGTGAATAGTTGTCTGAAGATTTTCTTATGTCATAGAATCATAGAATGGGTTGGGTTGGAAAGGACCTTAAGCCCATCTAGTTCGAACCCCCCTGCCATGAGCAGGGACACCTTCCACTAGACCAGGTTGCTCAAAGCCCCATCCAACTTGGCCTTGAACACTGCCAGGGATGGGGCAGCTACAGCTTCTCTGGGCAACCTGTGCCAGGGCCTCACCATCCTTACAGTGAAGAATTTTTTCCTAGTATTTAATCTAAAGCTACCCTTTTCCAGTTTAAAACCATTTCTCCTTGTTCTATCCCTATAAGCCGTTGTAAAAAGTCCCTCTCCAGCTTTCTTGTTTCCCCATTTTGGATAGGCAAGAATAAGCCTGTTGCAGTATTTCCCTTAGCTGTAAATACTTCTTATTCTATTTACCTTCATGTTCATCTGAACAGAATTTCACTGCACAGTTAAAAGACCTAACCCACAAGTATCATGATCTTAACTATCTTTACAGAAGTGAATGTAATAATCTTACTCTAACTCTCAAAACCATATCTCTCTTTTCTGAATTTCCCCCAAGATCGTAGCCTTCTTATTTCTAAGGCATTATTATAATTCTTTAAATTGCTCTTTCAGAAGTTTCCCTCTCTTTACGTGAAGTCATATTCTTATTATTCAGATTACATCTTTTTTCCTTACCTTTTGGATTAGAATTTTGTACAACAGTTAAAAACCAAAACCAAAACAAAACCACAAACAAAACAAAAACAAAAAACCCAAAACTTTCCCAACCTTTTCTGTGCATTTTCCTTTGCTTCAACACTTATTTACTACACTGCTACCTTATCAAGGCACTTCTGCTGTCGTTCTCCCCACCTAGTCTTGCAAGTGAAAGAGGAAGAATCGTTAGAGAGAATGATGTAGAGAAGAAATAGAAGCTGGAAGTGGGAGGTAGGAAGCTGGCTTTTTTTGGCATGTTAAAAATAGGTGTTTTCCAAATAAATATTTTAAACTGTACTGCATTCCAGACAAGAGCAAAACAAACCAAAAACATGGAAGTGGACTCTTAATCTTTCATTGCTGTGTTCTATGAGCTGCAGAAATCCAAAGTACACTGTGATTGTTAGGAGTTTATGTACATGGTGATGAGAAATAGAGTGCCAAGTCCAAAATGCATATTATTATCAGCAACTTTAATACTGTGAGATATCTGGATGACAGCAATATATCAAGCTAATACTTCAGTAGATTATTAACTACCTTAATAGAATTTTATCACAGTTTTACTTCATGTGTTTAACTTTTGACTCTGGCCATACTGTTGCCATCTCTTAATGAGAGGGCAGCTATTCAAAATTAAGTAGACAGGGTTTCAGAATGGTACCCCATTATTTTGCACAAACCTTTGAAAGTGAAGCCAATTTGTGGATTTGATGTAGATAATCATAAATGTGTTTCTTTCTTTCATTATTTCTTTGCCTTTTATGACTCTGCAGCTTTTTCAAAATTTTCTGTGACTCTTGCTGCTGCTTTTCTCAGAAGGGTCCTACTGATCCTAGGTCTTGTCAGATGGCTATGTAGCGCTGCCTCCAGAATTGGTCTTTATTAAACAACTCAGCTCCACTGCTTCTTCTTTCTTCTTTTATTTTACAAGCAATTTTGAGAATTCAGGTCCCAGTTAATTTAGAACCTTTTCTCTGCTTAACATATAAAGAAGATTATGCTTGCCTCAACATCCACTACTTGATAGTCATAATTTTGGCCTATTTCCCATGTTCAATTTCTTCTACTGCGTGAGACAACATTAATGTTATTACTGCTAAACAACTGGTACAAATTAAAAACCACAGTGGTAACCATTTGTGTAAAGACCACTAAATTTAAACAGAAATCCCTTCTCTTAGGAATGAAAATAGAGAAGAAAAAGCAGTAAATCAGAGCTGCCCATGCCTAGTCCTTTTTTTGAGGCCTGTGGGAGTTTTGCCACCAGTGTCAGTGAAGGCAGACTCGGGCTCCTGCATGCTGTGTTCTTGGGTCTTGTGTTCCTTAATGGAAATTTTAATGCACTTGGATAAAAGTTAAGCTAATCAGATTGCATAATCATTTTAGACAGGAGCTAGCAACATCAGAGCAGCATAATTTTACTTTTATAGTCCTAAGTATCTTTAGCAAGTAAAGTATCTGCCTTTTGCATTCTTTGTAGGTTACTTCAGATTATTTGTTATGAAATAATAATCCTATTCTTGTTATAAGTGAACACATCTATGATGCCTGTTTCTATTTTTAAAATTTTCCTGATTTCTACTGGTGAGGTTTTAGGAAGAACTTGGACCTGGCACACCTCTACTCCCCACAAATTCAACTTCAGTGTTACTGAAGGCAAAAAAGAACAGCCTTGACCAGTGCTGAGCAACATTTTAAAATGCCACGTAATATGTATATTATGTGTAATATTTCTGCTTGAAAACCTGAGCAACAAAGAGCCAAGCAGAAATCCACAGGTTTCTCCACAGTGCCCTGCTGGTATCTTGTGTCCATGACCTATAAATAAGGCCTTCATTACAGATGGAGAAATTCAGGAATTCCTCCCAAGTGAGTAAGGGGTGATCACTTAGTGTCCTGCTGCAGCTGCCTTGGCCTGATTATTCTGCCTGCTTTTGATCCAACTTCCAATGACTTCTGTTGTCTTTCCCCTGACTTTTAACTGGCTTTAGGGTAGGCCTGACATTGTTAGATGCCATTTTTAGGAAAGTAATGTGTTAGGAAATGGGGGTTTTCTTCATTGTTTTGGAACATAGTTCAAGCACAATCAAAAACATTTCAGTGAAGACAAGCTGTTGAAATGTGTGGGATACCAGCCCTTTTTGCTACATTCTCTGATAATGAATAGTCTTCATACCAAATCATCACATACTGTAAGTGCTTTCTGTTTAAAAGCCTTAGTTTTTTTTATTCCCACAGCAGATCTGTAAGGAGGAGTAAGGCCCAGAGACAAAAGGACAGACACAGGTGTGACCATGCTGCTGATACAGTGGCCATTGACTTAAAAGGCAGGCTTAGGATTCTTTTATTTCTAGTAGTCTAAAAAGTAGCTGCAGTTTTTAGGTTTGTGTCCTGATGTCTGTGATTTTACATTTTTTGTACAATACCACCTTCTGCTGAGAAAGGAACCACTTCATCCCTGGCCTTATTTTGAATGTGTTTATTATGGCTAGTCATCTTTTTTTTCTCTCTGTTCCGAACATTTTAATGGTATCACAGTCAAAATCACCTCAAGTAAAAGTTTATGCACAACTTCGATGCTTTTGTGGAATACTTTTAATTTCCCTCTATTTTCACATTTCATTCTGTTTCATTTTGTGTGTTTTCTAACATTTTGTCTGCTGTTTGTGATAAATCTTCATTAGTGGCTTAAGGAAGAACCAGTTGTTTCTTCATCCATGTAATGTGAAGAAGTTAGTAGTGTTTTACAGGTGACTAGGTGGCCTACCGGTGCTGCCAGTTTTGAGTTACAGCTACCCATCTCTGCTTATCTTCAAAGCCAGCATAGCAGCAACATTGGTAAAGAATTTAATTCTGACATCTTGACGCTTTTTCGAATATGGCAGGGTAGTTAGGGATGAAATTCCCAGTGACTTTTCATGAAGGTATAGACTCCCTGACTACTTACATGCTTTAAAAATTATTCTTTATATTCTTTAAATCAAGTAACATTAACTACAAAGGAAATTAATAGTGATTTGTTAAACAATTTGTCAAACACAATAATTCAGTGTTTGTCCAGCCTGTCTAGTACAACTGAAACGAGTGGAGAAATATGCATTGCTAATTATCAACCACATACCTTCAGGTATGAGGGAGTCTGTGCTGCATGGTTCACATGGTTTGTTAATCCTTCCTTCAGGCTTCTTGCATCGTGTAGCAGAGACCACTGCCTGTGTGTAGGCACACAGTCCTGGAATAGCTCTGAGTCATGCTGCCCGAGAAGAAAGCCGGCTTTGTGGTACGCACCATGGCAGCGTAGGCTCCACCACCGCCTCCTGTGCCTCTGATGAGGATGCAGCTTTGTAAACTCCTCTCTATGTGCCAGCTTAGCTCAACAGACCAGGACAAAGTGGGATAGATGCCGGTCTTCCCCTGTTTTCTTGCTTGCTGCAGCTGACACCATTTCAGTCAAAGAGAGGAGAGGCATAAAAGCTTATCCCATGGTGTTTACCTACACCGCGGTCCAATTTTTTATACTGACAGCAGTAGTATTAGCAGTACAGGTTACTGTTGGTGATGTGCAATTTGTAACTAATTACTGCAGTGAGAATCTCTCTGCTTTTGTATGGCACACAAAAAAATATGTAAGGTTGGGTATGGCAACTCTTGTGACACTGGCAAAGTGTAGCAGTGTTGCCATTTATTTGAGTGTAGGCCTACTGTTTCCCAAATCAAGAATTTTTGTTCTTCACCATTAAAATGTTTTCTTCCTGGGATCTGAGTGTGACAAAAGTGGAAGGAAGCACTCAGCTTCATATTGTGTCGGCTGTCAAGTTAAAAGGTATTTATTTACTTCGGGAAGATAACATGAGTCGTTCTGAAAAGTTTATAGAAATTGTTTTCATCATAGTATGGAACAGGCTCTTATTACACAGTATACATGACTTGTATTTTCAGAGTTTGTCAGAACACAAATAACACAGTGGTTTAACAGATTATTTTTATCAGTGCTTCATAATCAATACTTTTCTCTATAATTGTTCAAGATAACTGCAACCAGTTCTACCTCATCTATCATTACCCCTTCTGTTTTGTTGCCATTATCCCTCTGCATAGTTATGGCACAGTACTAAATATCATTTTGGTTAGCTGGGAGTCCTGCAATAGGCAGCATAGCAGTAGCAGTGATTGATGACTTCTGTTTTACAGCCAAAGTGCTGGGGTGGGGTGTGGCATCAATATATTAAGTTTTCCTCTTCTGAAGTAAAGGGAATAGATGAGTGAAGCCAGAATCTTTTAGGAAAGATGGTTAAGTGCCAGGAGACTCCAGGGCTGAAGTACTGGAAGGCTGAAGGAACTGGCAATCCCATAGGCAATTTCCATGCTTCTGCTAAAAATAAATGCCATAATAAACTTATGCCTCATAATATACCCGAGGTATACAGCAAAAGCTTGCAATGCATATCTACCCTACTGAGGCTATTACCATATATTGAACACTCCAAAGAGGCCAAAGGAATATTAGGAGGAACTCAGTATCTCTGGGAGCAGAGCAGGAGCGGCCTGGCCAGAGATAGCTGGAATTTCTCTGCTAAAATACATCCACTGGGAAACAACAAGCCAAGCCAGCAGGCTGTCATATTTTCACCTTCTTCTCCAACAATATGTTACCAGTAACATATGTCAAGAAAATAGAAAAGTGTACTGGTATGCAATAAACAAAAAAACCCCAAACCAAAACAAAAAAACACCAACCAGGGACTGCGTGTATTTTACTTGCTTTACATCTGCAATAGCGAAACGTGTGGATTATTTAGTTCACATTCAGGATTTCTTTATGAGGTTTTGGCTTTGCTTTTCTTTTGTAATTTTTTTCCTAGACTGAGGGGTTGTTCTAATGCCAGCTCTTTTGATGTTATTCCACTAATGAGAGTACTTCAGAATTACTGGAAGTATTCAGTTTTCAGAATTATGTCTGAGAGAAAGAGGATTCAATCTGCCATCTAAGAGCAACATCTGTACACTAAGATGTAGTTTTATACTGTACGAGACTAGGCACCTCTGGAGGGTGCGACTCTGAGCTGTCATCATGGGGGTGTTCTTGTGAAAGATTTTTAGAAATGAAGTTGTGGTCTGTCTAGGAAGGGGTGCCTGAAAACCCTACTAGCCCCGCTCCATACAGCACCCATCCAGATTTTTTCTTCTAGTCTTCAAGTAGACTAGAAGACTCTTTAGCTCACATCTGCTTTCTTACGCTGGGTGCCACCAGTGAAAGCCGGTCTGTTTGGTGTGTGCCCTGCTCACTGTATGAGTGCTGACAGTGCTGCCACTTCCCAGGCTGCCAGGAACTGCTCACACACCACGAAGGTCTGTCTTTATTCAGACTGCTGGGTATCCAAGGGCAAGGCTAAGATGAAGACAGCCCAAAGGAGGCTTGCTTTTTCCTTTTCTCCACATTTTGACTAACATGAAGAGCCAATGTTCCATGCTTCAGTGGCGTCACCTTCTACTAGCCAAAGCCAGCAATGCTCTTGGGTACCGACATTCTCTTGTCCAACATGTATTTTCTCTGTACCAGAAGGAAATGTTTGAGCATTCTACTCTGGGCTTCTTTCCTGTGTCCTGCTAGAACTCTTTTCTGTTCATTATTTCGCTTCCAGAAAAGCTATGTTTTTGGACAAGGGTGGGGACTGTTTTATTTCTCTCACAGGAAAGAGACTTGGGCACTTTGAACTGCTTCTTATGCCCAAGAAAGTAGCAGTGGGCTACAGTACAAAACAGCTATTACTGCTCAAACTTGAATTACTCATCTGAGTAACTAGACTTCCCTAATTAGGACTAAAAGTTTCAGAAGTGTGTTGGGGTGTTCTTCACTACATCAAAATGTAGACATCTGTTCTTTGTTAATCTTCTAGTTTTCTGCAGTCAGTGAAGAAACAGACCCTTTTGGATGATTTTTCCCAAGTTTTGTAAGGTGGGATGAATCAGCTCTTCAGTTCCTCAGCCATCAGCAACAAGATCTTTAAATTTAGTTAAGGCCCATTTAGAACTCACAGCTTTATTCTTCCATCTTTCAATGTCTTTTGAAAGAATCTAAATCTTCCAAAAACATTTCTTAGGTCCTTTGATTAAATGCTTCTTTCATGGTAACTAGAGGATGAAATTTCCTAAATGTACTTTTTTGTCATGGATCTATATATATAAAAAAAGTAATTCATGGATAATGAGTAACATTGTCTTGGTGACACTTGTTCCATACTAAGAAAACCAGAGTTTGTCAGATATTTTTATTTCCACACATTTGGCTTCTGCTGTTCTGACTCAAACACTCAGATAACTTTCCTTGCAGTTTTGGGGTTTTGGCTCTTCTGGTTTATAATTCTACCAACAACATCAATTTAGAAGAGGAAGACATCCGACAGAAGCTCATAAGTAATAATGGGACCATGGAAGGAGGATATAAGCTTCATACTGTGGATGTTGATCCAGTGGGTAGGTAGTTTTTGGCTTTGTTACAACAGATTTTGTTTGCTTGTCCATAAGCATCTTCTGTGTTATACTAATCACACATTGCCAAATGGTATGACTGTTTCAGATCTTAAATTTTTCCCTTAAGCCTCATTGTTCCACTATTCTCAGGGAGCTGTGCTTTTAACATAAACACAGTTGTCCAGATTGCTTTAGTCAGTGTTTTGCTGTCTGGTTCAAAGAGGCTGGGACAGTTCCTGACAGCTTCTCTGGTAAGAAGTATGATTTACAGCTGGAGCTTAAATGAGATATTTTGGACCTCCAAGGCCCCTCACACCCACTCCTCCACCCTGTTGTTTCTGGTCCTGCCAGCTGCTGCCCTTAATCAATCTCCTTTTAGCTCTCATCTTTTCCCTTCCCTATTCAACTTTTTGCATAGATTTCCCTTGCCTTGGGAGGGAGGAGATGGGAGCTGGTGGAGTGCATGTGGAATGTGCAGCATGCATGTTCAATCCTTCCCCTCGAGCAGCAGCACTATATATTGTCCCCTCTTGTGCCCCCCTTCATTGCCACTACTCTAGATAGCTAACAACCAAGCATTTCATGTAAAGACAGCTTTGCACTATAGAATGGGTGGCAAGCTGATGAAGAAATGGAAGATGATTAGATGGAGAAATTTACCATTAACACTGATATACTTCTATTGTTACAGAAAAATGTTTAGCAGAAGAAAACCCTCCAAACTATTTTTGGCCAGATACCAGACCAACTGTGACCAACTTCACATTATGCCATGGGAGCTCTGTTCAGACTGCATCAAGAACCTGGTAGGTTTTCAAATACCTAGAAGCTAAAAGCTTCAAATGCAACTTTCTGGTTATATAGTTAAGCTGCATCCTACATAATGGTTGTCATTGACTGGTACTGTATTTCAGGAAGATCATTTCTATACTGTGAGAAATTTTGTGTGTACAGTAAAAGTATGTACTTCACTGACAAGAAAAAAAAAGGCTTATCTGCCGCTTCTGTAGTGCAGTTGAGGCCCACAATTAATATATATTCAAAGCAACTATTAAAATAACACCTTCATACAGAATTAAACTGCTCTCTTCTAGTCATGATGTTGATGTTACTGAAACCAAAGTATCATATTTGCTACCTCTCAACTGCTACTATCTGACTTTTATAAGAAATTTCAACAAAATCTGATGATGAGTGGTATAATTGGCTTAATCCAGAACCTCCTATTTCATTAAGAGAAAGTAAAAGAAATTCCGTGAAACAAGCATTTTGCCAGTAGTTAGTCAAAATTGAAGATGGGGATAATCTTATGCTTAAAGATTTGAATTTGGGTTTTTTAAAAACACATGGTTTAGCATAAATATTCTCTAATGTTGGCTTTCTTTGTGAATACCTAATAAAGATTTAGTCACGGTATCTCCAGGTCCCATTTGTAAAATGGGAGTATTATTACTTCCTTCGATATATTACCAAAACAGTACGGCTTTGATCTCCTCTCAGTGCCTTCAGCAGAGCTGATGATGCAGTATTATTTAATTTCTTCAGTATTTAGGATGATCACCATTACATGTAATACAGTAGTCTTATCTGCCCACATTATATCTGGAACATGTTCTGAGAAGACCAGATCTTTTACTTTTGAAAACAATATGGCAACATGGATATGAATCAGCTTTGAGCTTCTGCGCCAAACAGGAAAGCAACCAGCATTATATTTAACTAACTCACTTCCTCAGACTCTTAATCTTGTACAAGAACTGCTGGATTCTGATTGACCAACTTTTGCTGTAGAGTGAGTAGTGCAGAAGTCAAACTGGTTTTGTGCCAGAACCTCAGAATCATTAAAAATTAAGGCTTCTGGCCTTTGCTGCCCCATATGGCTTATCTTTATTGTTCATGTGTGGTCTACACAGTACCTTTGATTGTCCATGTACAGCACTTCTCATAAAAAAAAAAATATATATGTGTTCTGCACTATGCTATTCTTTCCTTGCCTCTGCCTCCACTAGGTTTTGGTAATGTGGAGCACAGCTGGGATGTGTTTTGAGAGAAGAGGAAGCTCTTGTAAGCGTCTCTTCTAATCCTGTGCTTCCCACAGTGGAAGGTTACCAGCTAGTGTGCTGTTATAATAAAGTCAATCAGTGGAGAAATAACTTTATTCTATCATGTGCTAAATGAAAGGATAAATTTTTCCTATTCTCCGTTCTGCTTTTGCCATGCTATGATAATATGACTATCTTTGAAGAAAACTGAGGAAAAAGTGTGTTTAATTTTGGAGCTATATCTGGAGGTTTTGCTATGGCAAGGCTTTTTAAAAAAGCATTTTGAAAAAACTTTATATGTGACCCTCACCTTGGATCTGGATCTGATGGTGACTTGCCCCAGTTTTCATGAGTGGCATAAATTTGTATCTCCACATAGCTCCTGTCTTTCTTCTTCTTACAGCTTGCTGTTGGCTTGATCAAATCCATTTGTATCAAATGGAAATTATAGAAACAGCATCTGATGAGGTCATAATAAGGGCATAATAGTTTTTGTCAACATTTGGGTCTTTTCTGAAATGCAGTTCCAGAATTTCCACTAATGCAGTTTATTGAATCAGTATAGCAATCAGCTGGGACTTTGTCCAAAAGAACTAGGGTTTCTCTCAGCACTGTCACTTAATTGTTCACATATTTACACTGACAAGCATGCATATTTCATTTCACTAGGGACCATGTTGCTAGGAAAATTGTGAACTGAGAAGAGTGGACCACTGTGACAGCTATAGAAGAATTGTGAAAAATTTATGTAATGCATGCTATTGTATTTCATGTGAATTTTGTTCTTTTTCCTTTTTAGCTATTTGGGTCTGCAGAATTATACATCATACTGGGGCCAGCCTGATCTTAGAAATTGCACAGGTGGGTATACTGGTGTTGATCTTTGGCTAAAGGAATAGTTTTGTAGACCTTGGTTACTGCTTACTGTAAGGAAGTTACATTAAGGAAGAATATATTCCTTTATGCTGAGTTGCTTAAAATCTTTCTAAAAAAGTCAGTGCAAATATAAAATATTTGAAGTCTGGGGAAGTGCATCAAGTTGAATGCAGCCCATCCATGAAAAGCGCTGGATACCAGTTAATGAAATAAATCAAACTCTAAAGGTAGTTCAGCAAGAATTTGGGCAGGGGGTAGCTTGCCTCAATTTGATATTCAGATTCAGACAAATTTTAAATGTTTCCAGTGCCTGTAGGTACCAGCGGAAAGACTCACTCTCTTCACTGGGTTTACAATCAGACATTTTCAGATTTTTTCTCAGTTTGCAAAATACCCCCTGGTATCATTCTAGGCTTAAAGGAGTAATAAAACAATAGACAACAATTTCATGGCCCCCTTTTTTAGTGCCAGAGCTACTGAAGAGAATGATACTTGCCTAAGTAATTCAGAGCACCTACACTAAGCTCGTGTTCTGATTTGCTTTCTTGGAGAAGCCTCTTTTAGTTTCCTCACTGAGAGAGGGTTCCTAAGGGAGCCTGGCTACCTAACTTCATTGACTGAGTACTTGCAGTCAGCCTACATGAAACCATTGTTTCATGTAAAATGAAAATTCCACCCTAAATGTAGCAAAGGCTATATTATAAAACACAGCATTAAAACCCACAGCCAGTTGCAGACTAAAGAAGCTTGATCTTCTTTCAAAATCTAAATTGCAAATACCAATAAATCTCAAATATTTTTATAATTTAAAATGTTAGTGTTTACATTAGTTTTCTATCCGGGTGACGTCTATTTTAGAGTTTAACATGTTATTTACTCTAATGGTTTGCCATTGGACAAACTATCAAGGAGTTTGTCTATTACTTACCAGGAAGATTCTTAAGAAATTTGCTTGTGTGTTGTGCTTCCCAACCCTCTGAGTATGAGTACGACCTTCTGAAGAAACTTGCAGTGGGGTCAGACTTTCTCCCTGAAGCTTAGAAGAATGAATACCTTGTCAGTAATAGTGACTTTGAGTACATTTGTTTCACTTCAAAGTGAAACTCTTCTTTTCCCAGTGCGGGGGTGGGGGCGGGGGGGGAAGATAGGATAAGGAGAAAAAAAGAGAGAAAATATGCTTTTTATTCCTTACTTCCCATTTTTTCCTTTCAATCTGCCCTTTCAATAATAGTTCTGATTTGCAAACTCAAATTAAATTAAGGAAAGAAAGACAGCCAGTGAGGACAGTATATAATAAGCAGCAAGTTCTATATAGTTTTTCATAAAATTATAAATTTATTAAAATGATAAAATCCTATGTTCATTTCAAGTACCACAGAACATGCTCTAGCTTTCAACAATGAGGATAAAAGTCTGTATTTCTGAATTATTTCAGGACTGATATACATTATCTTATTTTTTTATTTCATTTTACATGTACGTTTACAGAAAATGCAGCTGATATAGCCAATCAGCTTCTGAATCTTACTGGTGAAGGGCAGCAGCTAACCTCAGACAAAGTAAATGATGTTGTGCAGAAGCTCAAAAAAATTGTGAACGATGAAGAAATTGATGAATCTCTGGGTTCTACTGTGGTGACAATTTTCTCCAATATTCTAACTAGTTCAGACAGTGTATTGGCAGCATCATCATCAGAGTAAGTATTTCTGCATTTAAGACAAGCTTTTTAGAGCAGCCTGCGAGGTTGGAAGGATTCATCCTTCCATATATAGACAAACAACTGCAGTACAAAAATCAAGCTTTTCTCATTTCCATCAAAAGTAATTTTCCAAATTAGATATACAAATATTTCTTTTTGTACTAAAGTTAATGTTCATGACAAAGATTAAGTATTTGGATGGAAAAGAATTCTCCTGATACATGACACAGCATAGATCTAAGTATTGTTGGAAAATTATTTCAGGGCCAGTGATATATAGTCATATATTTTTTCTTAATCAAAAGCTTTTATTTTCAACAGAGGTGCTTAAATTTACAGCCTGAGTGTCTCCTTATGAATACACATATGGGTGATAGAAACATAGTCAGTAGTAAAAGGATCATCTTAAATATGGAGAGTATACAGAGCATAGTATTTTTCTTTTTTTCCTGTTTTCAGTTTTTATAATAATTTTATTTCCGGTTTTAGAGCTTTAAAAACTATTGATGCCTTGGCTTTAAAGATCCAGTTCACTGGACCATCCATGAGTATTTCAACACGAAACCTTGCACTTGGAGTGTCTTCTATAAACTCGACTTCGTTCAGAGGTGGTTCTTTCAGTGTCAGTCCGCAGAATAATGCATCTGATTTCCAGGTACGGAAGAAACAGTTATATTGGAACATGAAATGTGCCTGTTGTTCAAACTGTGCTTACTGTGCTTTCTATAAAACCACTTACAATTCCCAAATTTCCAATTCTCCCCCTGCTTTTTATTTCCTTTTTTGTGCAATCGTCAAACAAATTATTGTAGTATTTTCTTGAGTGACAGGAATCCAGATAAACTCACGTTCCATATGAATAAAAAGTAATTATTTGCTCACAAATCCAGAACAGACTATATCATTTGGGGTTTTTTAATAATGAAAAGGGAAGATAGTCTCTAACAGTCTGCTATATCACCTGTTGTACACTAGCAAACAACTCCATTGATGCATTTTAGCTTTAGACTAAGACATCTAACTGTAGGTATCTACGTGTAGATTTCTGCAGATAAAATAGGTCTTCAAAATTCCAGTAGAGTTTAAACACCTACTGCTAACAGAGGTGTAAGGCTGATCTAGTTGTCCACACATAGGTTGTGACATTGGCAATGTCTGAGGTGGTTTGAGACATTCATGGGGAGCTTGACCAGCCTAGACATGAAAAATCAAAAAACTAAACACCACACAAAATGCAGAATGGTCTCTAGTGCTACAGTGTCTAGATAGGCTGCTGTAGTTAAGATACTCGTCATCATCTCAATGATATTTTTTCTTCTTTTTTTCACAAATAGAAAAGCTCAGACATCTAAAAGCTATGAAATAGCATTTGAGAAGCACATGTGCACCTACTGGAATTTTCCAAAGGTTCTTTTGAAATCAGTAGCAATGAGGTGCCGAAACTTTTAAAATTCCACTATATGCCTGCTTGCATCTTATGGCACCTAAGTGCTTTTTAAAATGTAGCGCAGTGTCTTTTTTTTTCACAGTTATATAAGAAGCCCATGACAGAGGTAATGTAATCTCAGTTTCCTGGGAATCTAACTATTCGACTACAGTGAGCCGTACTTGGAGAAAGACACAGAAAAGATTAAACAGAAAAATTAAAAAATCTACCATCACGTGGTAGAAGAACTAAAGAGGAATTCGAAGAGGAAACAAAACTGAATTCAAACAAAACATGCCATTATGAAAACAGACTGATCACTAGGGTATAAACTTACTGAACAAAACAAAATTCCCGCTGCAAATTGGCAAGACAACAAACCTAACATATGTCTGATCATTTTATAAAGTTCTATGTACTGTAAAAATCAAAAACAGTAATGAAGACAGTGCTAGAAAAAGTAGTAGTAACATAATAGACTGCAGGCCTTTTACACATTATGTATATAGACTTCGGATCAAAACTCAAATGCTAATTTAAATAGACACAAATGGATTTAATGTAATTGAGTTTTCACATATTTATATTCATGCAAATTTTGGCTAAAATTTCTTTGAATCAATTTTATTAGAAATCTTTAATGATTACAAATTTAATCTTGTTTAGCTCTTTTATTCATGAAGCTAAATAGGTGATTGTTCTTTGATTGTTATCAAAGGAATGTTTCTCCTCTAGATTTCATCCTGTATTTATGGAAAGAGGAAAGGAAAAATTCTGAAGCCAGGTTTGGGATGTTCGCATGTATAATAAGAACTACCATCTGTGGCTTGAGGACATCCAGGAATTTTCTTGCCCTGGAATCATTTATTACAGCACTGTCTAAATAATCATAGAATCCAAACTCCGTCAAATTATTTATAATGTTCCTATTGGAACATGAGTTTGTTCTTAGACTTTCACATTTCCAACAGCTGATTGAGAATTCTTAGCATCCTTCCTACCAGAAAAGTCTGCAGCAGCTGTGGTGACTGTTTATATTTTCCATGGCTGTCAGAAAGATGCTTGTTATCCCTACTGGAGGGAGATTCCCTTGTGAAAGCCCAGGTTTTTCACCAGCAATGTGATGATCTATCCCAAGCTCATCAGGGAGCACTAAACTCTTCAAGCTGCATATCAGAATGTTTCCAGATTTTATTTCTTTTTTTTTTTTTTTTTTTTTTTTTTTTTAAAGTAGATATCAAGCAAATGTATCCATGGCGATTTGGAAAGATTCTATTTCAGTCCCCTGTGTCTTTATGTTTCTTGCCAAACCTTTGACTAAGTTAGTTTTTGGTGATTCACGCTATTAAATTGTTCCTGTAAGATATCCATAGTTCTTTATAGAAGCTTCTTCCACTCTATTTGCAGACAGTACCTAATGGGACAACTTTATCACACACAGACTTTCTGTTTTATGTGGCAGAATTATCCTTTCAAAATTCAACTGCTTATAGCCCTATCAGGAGATATCTATGAACCACTTCTTACTAATTTCCAAGGGTGCCCAGTTATTCACAGTAAAACAGTGAAAATTTACAAGTTAAATAAATCTAGCCTGTGGCTTTCAACTTTTTATTGGCTAACGGGGCTTTAAGAATCCTATGACTGATCATGAGAGGCATAAATACATGATCAAATTAACTCTGGAGAACTCAGGAGTGTGTTTCCTTATCTCACAGTAAAATTCTTAGTTACTTTTTCTATAGAGCACTGTGAGATGGCCTGCTCGCCTTTTGATGGATAGGGTGTCACACCTTCAGTATTCCATGGTAGAAGAGCATACAGTCATAGAATTCCTTATTGGTAGCTACTGAAATGCAAGTTTGTATCCTCATTCTTTTCTGGTCACTTGTTACATCCGTATGCCGTAGAACTGAACTATGCTATAGTTCAGCTGTCTGACATGTTGCCAGTACAGATTAAGCTTATATTGATGCCAGAAAGTGTCTTTCTCTTCATGCTACATAGCATGATAAACACAGAGAGATGACGCTAATCATTATTGTAAGATCACCCTTCTGTAACAGAAACAAGAAAAGCTAATAAGAAAATTAAGATGTGGAGGTCAAACGAAATGATACAATTCAAGAAAGAAGGATTCAGAACATATTTTTCTGTTCTCAACATTGTTTGGTATGAGGAGAAGCATCTTGAAGGTTACTGAAAATTACTGACTGCCATTACTGCCATCTCATTACTTCCAAGGAGGAGGTTTTTTGTTTGTTGGTTTTATCTAATACATTTTTGTAGAAGGCTGGTATCATGCTGAAAGAACAGGAAAATCTCCCAAGCCTTTTTTTATTTGTTTATTGCATCAACTCTTACATAGGTATAGGTCATATTAGTTTGGTAACTTCTAGTCCCATGTTTAGGTATCTTTGTGTAAGGATGTGAACCCCGTTGTGGACAATGGATGATTTGGTTTTTGTTTGAACATGTTCTTATGTTCTTTTTATTTAACAGATAGATTTTGACAAAGATCAGACAAATGCCATTGCTTCTGTTGTTCTGCCACCAAGTTTACTGAAGAATTTAAGTCAAGATGAGTTTGAAGTTATATCCAGGGCTCAGTTTACTTTCTTCAATAAAAATGGTCTTTTTCAGGTAAGCTTTAATGTGTTTGAAGTCATTTCAGTTAAAGTGAGTCAAAGCCAGCTGCTGAAAGTTTCCTCTAGTGTAATAGTTACCTCATCACAGTATCTCATGAGTTACAGGAATGGGAAAGTGATAGCAGATGTAGACACTAGAGACAGCATTATGTTCAGAGAGATGAAATAGTCACATTGCCCAAGTTGAAATAAAGTCAGTGATTGACTGCAATTTCCTGTCACATGTGAAATAAACTTTTTCTCAGGGTAATCTATGGAAAACTGTATCCTAGTTGCTTAAAATCAGAGTAAAGTAGCAAGGCCTTTTAAATGGCGTAAATTCTGTTAGAATGTATTAGAAGTCCTTGGTATTCAGTGGAGCCAGATTCTTTTCTATCGGAAGGGAATTTGGCATTTAACACTGCCAAGTACTCTTTCTTTCTCTTTTCCTTAAAACAGTTTGTTGGTCCTCATATCCACCTGACTACATATACTCAGTCGGAAACTTTGGTCTGATGGTCATCAGCCAAAGAATATTTGTTTCTATACATACTATAATTCTTTCCACATATGTGCTCTCATAAGCACACCATATTTTAATATGGAATAACGATAACAGTACTTGTACGTGAAAGCCAAAGGGACTCAGGTCCATTAGATGTTTTTTCTCCTTTGAGTCTCAACACATGATAAATAATTCCTGCATAGCAGATGCCAAAAAAATTAGGAAGAGTTCACAGCTTGGAAAAACAATTGAAAACATACATATTTTGGGAGAAGAAAAAAAAAAAAAGAGTTAATTAAGAAGGAAACATTGTTTCATAGTTAACTGTAGACTGAGTCTCAGAAGGCTTGAGTTTGTTTTCCCCTTAGTATTTCAAGTGAACTTTGGCTCTTGTGCATCCGCAGAACTCTGTAGTATTGTATTGTCCCTATATTATCGTTTTTATTGGCAGTGTATCCAGATTCTTCAGATAATCTAGGCAAGAAAATACCCATGACCCTCAGTTGCCTTCTGAAATACACCCCTAAGTATTAACTATTTAAAATAATACTCATTTTAGGCCACTGTTGATAAAAACAGGATGGATATATTTAATTAAAAAAACCCAGAAGAATACAGATGTAGGCTTGTCATAATGGCATAAAAACCTATAAAGTCAGCATTTGTCCTTTAACGGTGCTAGAACTTGTTTCTAAGGGATACTTAATCACTGGAAAGAAAAAGCTATGCAAATCTGCATCTGAATTCCTCATTTTTTGGTGTGTTGACATGTTGTTCTTGGTTGACATGTTCTATGTAATTGATTAAAAATGTGTAAAATGTCCCATTTTGTTAAGGCTAAAAATGAAGTAAAATAAAAGTAAATAAAGCCTAAAAATAAATTGATTAATATAGAGTCATAGAATTGTACATGCCCTCTCAAACCTAGTAACTTTATCCATTAGTATAGAAGTATTTCATAAATATATTTATTCCAGTTGCAAGTAAAAATCCCAATGCTATTGGCTGTATTTCTGATAAGCATTCAATATAACAGTGAAACAGCATGCTTTACAGCACTGGAGGTTTTATTTTAATTGAAACTGAGAAAATAGTAGTAAGTTTTATCTTGTCATTCATAAAAATATGATTGTTACATTACTTACAAGTCTATATGAAAAACTGATGTGAGCTATTCAGGGTAGGATTCATTTCACCAAACATAGGTGTGTTAAGTGTATATACGTATGCCTGAACTGTTGTTCGTAAGTTCCCTTCAAAGCCACTTGATGGAAAAGAATTAACAATGTTGAGATGTGACACATCTCATCCTGATACAGGACTAGGCATTAGACAAAGAAGCGTGGTGCAATTTGCGACCCCCCAAGGTAAAAGGTACTATTGGCTGACAGATGTGACAATAAATCTGTAAGACATGTGAGATCTTCTGCTGTGGCAGCTGGAGACTGGACAGGATACTTAAAAGCCTCTTAAAATGGACACTTTAGGCAACCCATATTCAACCTAGATGTACTGAATAAGTAAGGTGGATTATGTTCTGGACATGCCAATTTCCTTTCTTTGACTGTTAAGAAACACTAGAATGGCTACTCCAGTTCTAGATGTCTTCTTTTTACATGTGTAAAGTTAGGTTGGAAGGATCATCCTCATGAATTCAGAGGCCATGAAAATAATGTGCAAATAAGATAAATAGGTAAATTGTTTTGATTGCCTAAACTAGTCCAGATTTATGTCATTGACGCTAGCCTCAGTATTGCTTTACTTTGTACCTCTGTGTATTTTACTAGCTAAAAGCTTACCCCTAACTTTAGCTGAGCATAGCCTTATAGCTAAATAAGCAGTTACCTGTATTCTACTTTAATGTAAGCCTTATTTATATTCATTTGTAAGGACAAGTGAGAATAAATTATAAAGAGACCATTTGATACTAATTTCTGCTTTTTATCTGCTAGAGACAGAATACATTAAAAACCATAGAAATCTATGCAAAGGCTTCCACAGAACTGTTGGATATTGAAATTTAGGTGGTAGCGAAGAGGTTTTCTCTTCTTTGAATGCTCAAGAACTGTAAGAAAACTGCATTTTTATTTCTTTGCAATTTTTCAGTTTTTAGAAAATTATGCCACAACGCTCCAGTATAATCTGAAATACTGTGTTTGAAAACTCTTGGATATGGTTCTTAAGAAACAAAATATTTTTATCAGGATAATGTGCACCTAATACCTGAAGCTATTCTGTCTCTCATGACTGGTGGGATCTCATAAGCCCAGTACTGAGCTGATACTTGACATCTTGTGAGGCTAACAAAACCCCTAGACTGAAGGAATCAGGGGTTTTCAGGAGTTTGGCAGCCCAGATTTTTGGAGGTAAAGTGAGTGGCAACAGATTATTTGACCTGGCATCTGCTGTAGGCAGTAACCGAGCTTCCCACCTTTCCATAAGGCCAACCAGGCATGTAATGATGTGGGTTTCAATGGAAGTTCATCAAAAGAATATAGGATTTCCAAAACACTTCCATTTTAATAAATCTTCAGTTTCCAAGGAAGACTTATCTTCTGGAAAATTCTGAACCTGGTACTTTTTCACTGCAGGTTAGAAATAGTATTGCTCATAGACAACATCAACCTCTTATTTAAATTCCCGTCAAATAAGGCATAGATATTATTCTCTCCTACAGTATGCAACATTGTTTTGAATTTGTTTACTACTTTGTAGTCATTCATTGTAAGATAGAGGATGATTTAGCAACAATACATAGCAAAATAGGTTATGCTCCAAAAACTTCACATCTACTAAAAAGGACAGTGTTGACAATATGATAAGAAAGCTAGTTCATTTTTGTTTAGGGAAATGAGCTAATCATATCATGGGTTGTTATCTGCTGCATTGTTTGAGTTATAATTTTTTTTGGCATCAAGCATAATGATTCAAAGGGGAATTTATGCCTTCTAACCTCTCCCGAATAATTGTGCCTATATATGTTTATGACTATATGGAAAATAGGGAAACTTCCATGAGGTAAACCCATAGTTTGATTTTATAAACATAATGTTCTTATATTGCATGATCAGAAGTGCAGAAATGCTGACAACTTACTTATTCTGGCACTTTGTAAAAATGAAATTGTGTACTCTGGCTTTTATGTTATGTACTGTGTAAGCTTTTATTGTATTTTTCTGAATCTTTCAAAGGATGCAGAAAATCCTGCTGATTTGACCAGTTTTGTGGTGGCATGCAGTATTGGAAACATAACCATTCAGGATCTTCAGGATTATGTGAAGGTTACAATTAAGCATACCAAAATTCAGGTAAAACAAGACTCATCGTTCAGAGGAACAAGAATGCAGATTATACATAGGCAAAGCATAGAGCCTGATTTATTTGGATTGAATTTTGCCACTCAGAGGCAATTTCTGTGCCACCAACTGTAAGCGAAACCTCTGTTCACAACCAGTGACCAGGGATATGATTTATTACACTGGAGCTTTAGAATGACTTAAATTGTTTGATCAAACATGAATTGCTTTGTTAATAGTTCCCCAAGTTGTTTTGTTGTTATGTGGTTTACAGCAAAGGGAGAATGGACAGAACCACATTGTTAAAAGATGACTACAGTTAATTTAGGGAAATAGAGACCAAATGCAACCTTTGGCTATATACTGCTTCAGTTAAAAAGCATGTGAGCTTGAGTCTGTACTACATGTTGTCGGTAACTACTCCAAAAAGAGACAACAGCTCTGTAGAAGCTAAGAAAGAAGATGTTAAGATGCAGTACCTAAGTAAATTATTTGTGTAGCAAGAGCCTGGTTTGCAATTTTCACAGTTTGATTAACTTGCATTAATCTTGCATTATTTTGTCAGGCAAAACAACCTTCCCTTAAATTCAGCAGGCTTTTGCACATTTTCAAGGCCAGGTACATAGAGGATTCACTGAGAAGTCCTAAGGAAGTGAACAGTAAAAAGTATTTAGACTCTGTAAAGACATCATATTAATGGATAACTGTAGTGAGACAATAAAACTTCATTATTCTGAGTATGTGGAAAAGGAACAGTGCAAAGGAACAGTGCTCTAGATTTTATAATCTGGGCAGCTGTGTCTTTCTAGCAGAGTAAGTTTTAAATTGCCAGTAGACAAAATTTCAAGAATCTGCATGATACTTAGTTTTCTGCTCATTTAATGAAAAGATACGTAGTAAAACATCTGCTGTAAATGTATATATTGATAAGACACATGTCTGAAAAGTTGTACAAAGCCTACTTTTGCATATGTTCTTAGGAAGATCCTAAGCCTACCTGCGTCTTCTGGGATATGAGCAAAAATGGTGAGTTTAAAATTATTGTATTTTCTTTGATGTGGGGAATGAATGTGTCTAAGTTTTAAAATTGGTCACAGTCTTGGCCATTTGTCTTCTTAATCCTTTCAGAACTCAATGAAATCTTTATTTTGGATCATTTCCTCTAGTTAGTACAGTTGCTTGCAACAGCAGAGGTTAAATATTCTTTTAGAAAGTTTTTAATGCAAATTTGTTTAACATCTTAAATCTGTAAATTAAGTTTCTCTACTTTTCTGTATCTGATAGCAGTTTCTCACTGATCTGTCTGTATGTGCTAATTAAGTAGTAATGCTATTCAGACGAATGGTTCTTAGCCATACTTTTAACTAATCATTTTTTATATGTTGTGTTATTTAATTGTGAGATTGTTCCTGTTACGAATCTTAAGCTCGTTTTTCTTCCATAGAAGGTTAGAAACTGCCTTACACAGACTTCATCCACCTTGTAAATGGATGGCAGTCCAGCATGATGAGGTCCCATATGGAAACATTAACAAGACAGCATTTTAGCCCATTCTTCATTGCCACGGTCTAACCCATGTGTGATGTTACACTCAGGTTCTTCATTCTTTGCACAGACAAAGTCATTCTCTGGGATGAATTTCGAGATCCTTCTATTTTAGAGATCACTACTGACATGTTTCTTTTCCTTACAATGAAACAAATAGAGCAAAGAAATAACTCTCCTTACCAGTAGGATTTTCAGTGGAGGGATTTAGTACAGAGAGTGTTGCAATAAATAAAATTTACCATCCAAACTTGTACTTGAAATTGAGAAACTCAGATAGAAGAACTGAGGAGAATGCAGAAGGATAAAAATGAGGGGGAGAAAAAGAATCTAATTTGGAAGCTAAACTTAAGCATATTAAAGGAGAAACACAAAGGGAGAAAACTTCTCAGTGGCTGCATGAGTGTGGGAGACTTTTAAGTGTTTTTGGAACATCATCACAGTCTTTTGAGAGATTCTGTCTTGAATTTGAGGTAAAATTATAGGGCTAGTCAAGTAATTTGCTGAATTTTGCCTGGAGTTGTGCAAAAATGTCCTAATAGTTCAGAGAATATGAACTATTTCGCAAAATTAGTTCATATTTTAGCAGGGAAAAATGAAAGTAAAAGTAATCAGAAATATAAATTTTACTTTTTACTCTTCTATTTTTTAAAATAAAATATTTCTACTTATTTTTCAGAATGGCCTTTCCAGGTGGGGTGGGTAGGGGATTGTTTGTGTTTTTTCTTAAGGCCACAAAGGATCAGTGGGATTATCCACTCTGACCTTGTCATTACATGCTGCAGAGAGGAAGGGTGGGTCCCTCTGCTCCTGGGCCATAAATGCTTTGATGTGCCTGGGGATATATGAGTAGGAGGGAGGTAGCTGGAGACATCACATTAGTGTGGTAAAAAAGAGTTCTAAAACTTACTGTAGGGTGAAACTAAGGTGTGTTCTAATGAGTGATCCACAAAAACATTCATCTCCCATTAGTCAAAAAGCTTCCTACTTTTGAGATCCCCATCTGTTGCTGCAGCTCAGTGGTCCATTATTGGCACACTCATCTGGTGTGATTTTCTGCAGACACTAGGAAAACTGATGCTTGCTTCTCTCCTGATTGATTTTTATGCTCACTCATTCAATTTGAGAAAGCATTTGCACAAGATGAAGTGAGAAATGTATTAGAAGAGAGGATGACATGAGTCTGTGGGAAAGTACAGTTTGTCCTTTCATTTCCACAGGTGGCAATGGTGGCTGGAACCCTGAGGGCTGCCAGGTGGATACAGAGTCCAATGAAAATGAGACGGTTTGCTTATGCAACCACCTCACACACTTTGGGGTCCTAATGGTAGGCAAACTCACTGTTCACTAAGTTATCTTTTCTAGGAACTATAGTGCAATTTTTGTCTTCGGTCAAGACAACTCACATTTTTGTATTTTGTTTATACATAATTTTCCCCATTACTGTCATGAAGTTATCTTTTCATAACAAAATAGCTAGTGATAATGATTCAGGAGTGAGTTAACGAATAAAGTTAGCAATGAAAGTATGTTGTTGTTGTTGTTATTATTGTTGTTGTTATTACATTCTTTACAAGTGGCTAAATATTTTAAAATGAAAAATAAAGTGTGCGTGTAAGAGTATTCTATATTTTGAAAATACGGTGCCACAAAAGAGCTGGATTTGAGACTTCCAAGCAATACCAAAATACAAGATAACATATTATACCATCATACTTCAAAGCTGAGACAAGGCTGGGTGAAAAAGAAAGTCATAGTCTATAAAGTCAATACCCAGTACTAACACTTCCCCTAGTAAAACAGAAAAAAATTACCTTAATGAGTCCTAAGTCCCTGTTGTTTCTCCTAACAATCTAATCTGACAAAAATGACATGCAGCTGTCACATGTAACGAGGGTGTAACAAGAGGGAAGTGAATGAAGTCTAGGTAGATTTGAAATGTCAAAATCAAGGAAGTGGGAAATTTGTTTGCAAAAAAAAAAAAAAGTAGAAGAAAAAGTTCAGGTGTTGTTTTCAGAACAAAAAAAGAGAGACTCATTGTCAGGGAAAAGTCAGGGAAAAAAAGTGTCCTAGAGTCAGTAAAAGGGCTAATGAGGATGAAAAGTCAAGGGAGCACAATAATTCTCTTTCATCTTGAGATTCAAGAGGCTAAATAGTCCCTCACAAATTTAGGTTGCAAATCTGACAAGATTTATGTTTATCTACTGCCAGAAAGTATAAAGCAATACCTTCTTTTGTGAAATGTGTAAACCTGCATTTGCTGTTTTCTTATAAATGGCTTTAATCAGGTTCGGGGATGCCTTGCAGTACAAGCCTTCTGGAAGAATTCCACTCACTGAGAGCTCATATTTGTAACGCATAGCCTATCAGGGAGATGAAAGAGGGAACCATATAGAACACTTCAATCACAGTAGCGTAATTCTTCCAGCATTCAGGTGTCTCCAGCAATTTGCACATGAAGTCTTTTTGAGAGAAGAAAAATCTCAACATTAAAAAGATGGAATACTGTTACCTTGTCTTAACATGTGGAGATTTTTTTATGCTCAGTATTGGGCTGGAACATTTCTTTCCATCTGAAATGAACATTTTTTGGCCTCTCAAACATACCTGCAGAAAAAGATGTTTGCTCTTGATCACAGCAGTGCTCCTAGTGGAAGTATTTGGGTTTTGATTTAACTTGTTGAAGTGACACATAGGACTTAACTGCGTAAGGCAGTCGCATGCACTGATTTTTTTTCAGCTCTGGCTTTCCAGACCCTTCTTAATAAAACTGCTCTCTTCATGTCAGGCTCAGATGTAGATATGAAAAAGCCACAAGCTTTTTGTCTTTTTGCAAACTAAATTGTAGTCTTGTTTCACATTTCATCCTTGAAGAGAGAAAAAAAGGGCTTTCTCTAGGATATAGTCAATGAGTCCCTTCTCTTCCCCAAATGCTTCTGTGGCACTAGGAAATAAGGCAGAAGTTCTTTGAATCTGGGCTGTGTTCCAAAACATTTTTACATCATTTTGACCCTTCTAGTTGCTTTTCCATTTTAATAATCTTTTCTGACTTTAATTTAGATATTAAATTGTTTTCAAATAACAATCTATCTTGTATATGCAAACTGTCATACAAGATTGGGACAGGGTGTAAAAAACCTGATCCTTTCTTTTCCTATAAAGAATGCAAGCTTTGGAGCATTTATTCTTTTTACTAGATAGTTTTGCTAGGGAGAACAGTGACACTGACTGTAAAATGGACACCATTATGTATTAGTATTTGCTCACATTCACTCCACAGTGCTATAGATCCAAACATTCTCATTTTTTCTTGTCCTTAAAAAAGGAAATAACACTGCATTTATGCTCAGACAGTACTATGTGGCAATTACAGTTGGACAGAAAACTGGAAAAAAAATCCTCAGAATGTTCCTGCTTCATTTCCAATTTTTTTTTCTTAATGTTGTCTTTGTCACTATTTTTCTGACCAATTCTATTTATAACTATAGTTTGCATATCAAAACAGACCATAAAACAAAAAAGGAGTATCTTGCCCTTGGTTTCACCCATAGACAATTAGCTACATTGACTCTTAGGAATTTCTAATAATGAGAAGTGATGTAAGAAACTTGCCAGAATGTTGCACATTTTAGTATGAATACTTTTAAATTACATTCTCTTAAATCTTTCATCTTCTTAAAGAGTGTTGCTTGTAAGCAATGGAACTAAAACTTTTGAAAAGGGGAAATTTTCCCAGAGAAGGACGTTCAAATTCCTGGTAGTGAATTGTAAGGATCAGTATCAGACTCTGTCTATCTGCTGATCCCAGCAGTTTTAATACTTAAAACACAATGTTTTTGAAGAGTTATGGGAAGGAAGTGAGAGGTGTAACGACTATAGACTAAGTATGCTCAGTAAACATGAACCCTAATGTCAGGGTTATAGTAGTATTGCCAAAGTGCTTTGGAGTTTTACTTGACTAATTACTGAGAGTGTTGTGCTCATGGAAAAGGCATTTTCTGTAACTGATACCTCTTCCTTCTCTCTGCTATAACTGATACCTCTTCCATCTCTCCACATAGGATCTTCAGAGAACCGTTACACAAATAGACCCACAGAATACCAAGGTCCTCACCTTTATCACTTACATAGGCTGTGGGGTATCTGCTATATTTTCAGCTGCAACTCTTCTGACATATATTGCATTTGAGTAAGTATTAGTTCTGTGAAAAAGATCACCAAGGAGGTATCTGTATGTGATGAGTAAAATAAATTAGTTGTATGGTTAGTGTGGTTTGTTTGTCTAGAAAGGGAAAAAAAAAAAACAAAAAAACAAGCCTGCAAAATCATGGTCGCAATGTTGTAGGTGATTTTTTTTGAAAGGGACTTTAACTTTAGGCTTTAGACACGTAATGTTAATGTGTCTCAAAATTTTAATTTTGGGGAGTACAGAATATGTATTATTTTAAAATCCTCTACCAGGCTTTTAGTAAAAGCAAAACAAATCTTACCTATGTGAGTATAACAAGTTCTAAGTATAGAGATTTCCAGCTACATTTACATTTACATTACCTGGAATGTAATTTCCAATTACATTCTAGAGCCTTCAGGAAGAAGTGGAAAGAGAAATAAAATTCATATGAATTGTGAAATGTTACAACAATTTCAACAGCAGTCCTGATGAAATGTGAAAGTGACTCAAGGGAATCCAAAAGTTTTGAACTGGTACAGTTCTGTGAACAGTGAAAAGAGAAAATGAAGTCATGTCAACACAAAGGAACCATTCTGCCTGTAACAGAACAGGACAGAGTAGCTCCTAAAGAAGGATAGTTTGCTAGGGGAGGAAGAGAGGTTTCTGAGTTCTGAATATCTCCAATGATTTGCATTCCTGTGGCATTACCTATGGTACAGCATTCTGGTCCAACGTGGCAAAAGTTGTTGGCTTGGCCCTCAGTTCATACGTTTCAATGTGTATTAGTTAAAAAAGAAAATTGACTTGATTCCTAAAATCCTATTAAACAAACAAACAAAACACCTCAAACCCCAAATAAACAGGAAATATTATGCACTGAACTATATATTCCAAAAATTAAGCAAAGATTTACATAGAAAATTATCAGATGAGCTTCTGGTCAGCTGTATTTTAGTTTTCTTTTGATTTTCTTCAGTTTTCATTTAAAGTACAAAACACATTGTGTTATATTTAATTTCAAGGGGATTTAATAATAAATCAGTTGCTAAAATATTGTGGCAGTTAATTAGTTTATTAAGGACCCAAAGAAGTAGTAGCTTTCCAGCATCACATACAGCAGAAGCCTGCAGTAATGTTGCACAGAAGCACGCATCATTATGCTTTATTGTTATAAAAGCTTACAGATAGTAAGTAAGTGGCTTTTGTGATTGAAGCCAATTAATCATATGCACCTGTATTTCTCTCATTAGGAAGCTGCGAAGAGATTATCCATCCAAAATCCTGATGAACTTGAGCACAGCCCTGCTCTTTCTTAACCTGATCTTCTTACTTGATGGTTGGATTGCATCCTTTGACATAGATGGCCTCTGCATAGCTGTAGCTGCACTTTTGCACTTTTTTCTTCTGGCCACCTTTACATGGATGGGACTGGAAGCTGTTCACATGTACATTGCTCTGGTGAAAGTGTTCAACACGTATATACGGCGATACATACTGAAGTTTTGCATCATTGGCTGGGGTGAGTTCAATAGCGGCAATATTTACATAGCATGTATTTTGAAATGATGCTATATAAAATCTCTCTATCACAAATGCAAAGCAGAATCAAAATCTGTGTGATGTTTTCCACATGGTGGTGCCCGGGTGCAGTAAACCCTATCTGTTGCTGAATTCCTCTGTATTAATTCTGTGCAAGTACACCATAACTGGAACTCCCCATCCAGAGCAGCTCACAGCCCAAGGAGGAGTGTAGAGACCAGATGAACTTTCCAGAGAGGCTAGAATGGGAGAGGGGAAATACTAGTGTCATATCAAAGATGGAGAACTGCGGCACACAATGAATTCAGAAACTCTTGTAGTTACTACAAAGCCTGTGGGGATCTTTGCATCGACTTTCGAAAAGCTTTCAATCCACCTTAAAGTTTCTTCCCAACAAGTACAAGCCTATGGCAGAATCAGAAACAAAAAAAAATTCTTGAGCTTCAGCACAGTCTTTAAACCACAGAGAGATCCTGCATGTCCTAAGCAGTGTACACAGCAGGACTGAAATGGAAAATGTAATACTGAAAAATAACTGTGAGGCTCAGGCAGCAAGGCTTTTATTCTCAATATTTTTTTTCTGTATCAGGAATCTGTGCCTTCTGCCTGAATGCACATATTGTGTTTGAAATAATACAACACAATACAAAACCATTAACCTCATGGCTAGAGCACTGACCTCAGTCCAGCTGATAATTGATGTCTTTCCATTGGCAACTAGCATCCTCTTTGGCAGCCTCAGCAGAGGACAAGGACTGAGTGGTCGGAAAAGCAAATTAACCTCTTCCCCTTTGAATCTGTTTTGTCATAGCAAGGATAAGACATGTAAATAAGGCATGCCAGGAAACGTACATTTCTTTTGTGTGAGCTGTACCTCTGCACAGACTTCTCTTCCACATAGCTGTCTATTTTACCAAAATATTCCCTTTACCTTATTATTAAGAAATAATGCACACACATAACACACATTTACAGTTGAGAGAAGCAGTGAAGAAACTACAGGTTCAAGTTCACATTCCCCAGTTTCCCAGCCTAATCAAATGACATTAGCATCTCTGAAAAAAGATCCCCCCAAAATATCCCAATATCATCCCTCCATTAGATCTCTTTTCGTAATAGTTTGTTAACCTTCTCACTATGAAAGCCTGCATGCAATTGCAAATTTGGTAATTAAGGGAGATTATTTTACTTTAGTTTCCATATTGCATACTAAAATAACATTTTCTACCTTACAGAACATTATGAAGCTTATTCAGTTAATACCTATTAATTTCTTTGAAACTATTACACATTCGTACTATTTGAAAAATTGTTTACTTCTGCTTCTCTGCGCAGTTTTCTGTCAGAACTACCTCAGGATATTCTGTACTAAAGCAATAAGGGTGGAGACATCAGTAATTTGGCTTTGCAGGGTGATTTTGAAGTTTTAGGAGATTTGAAACCATGCTGCCAATTTTCTTGTGTTACAGGTTTGCCAGCTCTGGTGATAGCAATTGTTTTTGCAAGTGCTAATACAAATGCAAGTCATGTATATGGCAAACAGTTATATGGCAAAGATGCTAATGGACAAGGAGGAGATGACTTGTGAGTATTTCTTTTAATCTCCTACCATTTAGCATTTAAAGTATGAAAGAAAAAAATTGCATTGGTCAAATGCTTTGGAAAAATCTGAGGTGCATTAAACAAGCAAAGTGGGTCTTCTAAATTATTTGAATCTGAAATGTAAAGAAGGCTATAAGAAAAATTGTAGGG